ACTGTATTGAAATCATGTTGGGTGAGAATAATGAAGTTATAAGAAAGTAGGTTTGTCAGCCACCGATTTATTGGAGTGCCTTAAGGGAAAACTTTGTCCTTTCCTAATATTATGAAGGTGCCTGTTTTAGAGAAAACATACCCTTCGCCTATGATAAACAGCTGCACCATCAAGGGTGCAGCTTTTAAACAAGTGCTTTTAGCGCACTGAACAGCAGGAAGACAAACTGCTCTTAACTCATGTTGGAATCCAAAAGGTTGTAGCTATTTCAGAATTATAGCAGCAGGGAATTCAGTGTTACTGTAGGGACACGTTAGCTCTGAAAAACTAAGTGCATATGATGAGATGATGTAAACTAATAATGCGCAATAAATGCAGCCCCTCTCCCAAATATAGTGTATCTATAAATGAGAAAAACTAAGAGACAGATGGCTGGCAAGCAATTTCCCCTATGGCATTTGCACATGTCCGTTCAGTGCTTGTATCTGGGTCATTTGCTAGGATAAACCCCATGTGACAAGCTCAATGGAGGTAAGGAAAAGTGGTCCATACCTGCTTCACCGAATTTTAATTTTAATTTACTGTTAAGAGATGTACTTATTCAAACAGCAAAATGAACCTTTTCCACATAGATTTGATTAAACAATCAAAACTTAGCTAGAAAATAAAATGTCACATAAAATATTTCGTAAACTATGAACTGTACCCACTGGCCTTTTTTTTAGTACATTATCAACTGGGAGGGAAATGAGAGTAAAATAACACTCTTGTACACATTATCTTCTTCCAATAAAGACCTGAAGAGACAACCTTGGACGCAAAGCAAACTTCTCCCTTATTTACTTTGATTTTATAGTAATTCTTTCTAAACATGCTTTTACTAAATACCAGACATGCCTTCAGTGGTTGAACATACTACAATTTTAAGATAACAAACCCAGGTTGGTCCAAGGCAAGTTTATTAGAGAGAACTTTTCAGAGAGACGTTAGAGGGACTGATCATTTCACAAGCTATTCTTATACCGGGTCAAAAACCAAACTGATAATAACACTAAAAGACCAAGTAGAAAGTATAGTTGAATATCTTCAGGGAAAAAAAAAAAAAAGGTTTTTCTAAAAAGCTTGTCAATATACCTTAAATCCTCTATTCCTTCATTTTAAATACTGTTAACCAAACTCTTTATAACACTAAGGAAAAACAAAAAACCCTTAAGAAGTGTTTCTATAAAACTGAGATTTACATTTACACCTAAATGAATAACTAAACTAGGGATGTGCTACTGAAAGTTTGGAATAGGTTTGATTTCAAGAGTAGAAATTCCTGCCGTGGAGTTGCTTCTCCAAGTTTCACAAAATTACTGCACACCGATAACTAAAGAACCTAAAGGTAATGTTAATGATCATGGGTGAGTTTAACAGTTGCAGAATGGGCAATAAGGAAAAAAAATTTCAACGCAGCCACAAATGCATTTCCCACTTTCAAAAACTCAAATTGCCTTTTTTTTTCTTAACTAATGCATTATTTTACTCACATGAGACTAAAAAGATGTATTCGGTGCATTATGTCCTTACTTATCTATCACAAAGGGCATGCCGTCAGTTAGATGACACGTGCCAAATGAAATCACACTACGAAACAGCAGTTATAGTTTACTTTTGTTGCTTTGAAGTAAACTGACTCTTCTTTTAGTGCTATCTTTATGCAAAACATAGCAGGACTTCTAAAGAGGATGCAGGGAAAGTGATGCAATGTTATCCTCGACAAATATGGAAGAGAGCAGAGAATTCGGGGTCAGCAAGTTTTTCCCACTGACCTAACATCAAATTTCTCCAGAGAGGGAGACAGTCCTTCACAAAGTCACACGCAGCATGACTTCAACTTTGGCAAAGACTGCATATTTATAATTCCAATTTTACTCTAACCACAATTTAAGATTCAGTACAGTCTTTACTAGATTGAAGGCAAGGGGAGAGGGGAAGAAGCTGAAACTGTATATGCTTTTTCATCAGATATGATGAATTCTACTCTTCTACTGTTTGTTTCATCACATCAGAGCCATAGCCTTACATTTAGCACAGAAACACTTGTAAAATATTCAATTTTACCATAGGGAAATTGATTTTGCTAGAAGAAGGTTTCAGATTACCACTTAATCTCAACCGAGCTACATCAAACACTGAATACAATTACATATATAGTTTATAAAGTAAACCTGAGCACTACATTTAAAAGAAATGATAACTTGGAGAAGTACCACAGCAATAATGTTTAAGCTGAAGCAACAGAAAAGCCCTCCTACAGTAAATGCCAGATTCTTCAGCTAAAATGCAGAGTCTTGCTTTAGTTAAGCAAGTCCACCTCCCTTCCTTGAACTGCCCTTTCACTCCCAGCACTGCCCTCTCCTTGCAGAACCATATTTCACAAAAGTTCCTAGGGTGGGTGGGGGTGAAGGGGAGTGGGCAGTGTTGCGGCAGAAGCCACAGACGTAGTTTAAACAAAGTTTTACACTTGAGTCTTTGTAGTATGAAATGGAGTGGTGGAAATAAACACATTATCATCATCCTACAGTTTCCACTTGACTCCCCAGCTTTTTTCCCTGCTTCTCACACAAGCGAGTTAGAGCAGTGAGACAGAAACCTTGGCACTGAATCACCTGAACATGGTATGCAGACACCAAATATGTGCCATGCTCCTATTAATACACATTTCATAATTTCTAGGATTCATAAAAACCAAGTGTGGCACTTGTAAGATTTCATACTCTCAAGAGTACGTGATTGCATATGCAGTTCTGCTACCAAGAAAATTAGAGTAAAATACACTTTTCAAATTGTAACTAAGTATAATGTATATTTACAGGTCTTCAACATCATAATGGTATATATTGTCTACATGTCACACATTGCGCATGCTATCAATTAGATGATACGGGCAAAGCATCACATTAAATTCATCTATGCAGCTAGGTATAACTCAGGAATTTTGACGCTCCATTCAATCTATAGCAAGTAAAGAACTTATAACAATTGCCAACTATCAAAGCACAACTAATTTATCATCACACTCACACCATTCTGCCGAGTTACAACACTAACACTTCTGACTGATGATTAAAGAACACAAAATAAGCATTACGTCTACAGAGAAATGTACATGCAAATGTAGTTTAGTTCCAGCCTTAATCTTTATTAGGATAGTTTCTTCTGACATGTACTTTTTAAAGAACTGGACAGCAATAAAGAATAGCCACACCATACTATTTGCTTGATTTATCACAGTGTTCTACAATAGTTACAGTAGTACAGTGTTACTTTTTTATATAAGTCCTAAATTATTGGTTTAAATGCTTACTCTTCAAACTGTCCCCAACAGTGCCAGTAACTACCCAGATTCTTCCCTGAGCTCGCTTTAGTAAAAAGTCACCCAACTTTGGAAGCAAGAGCTTTTCCTGCCAACATTCCAGAAATAGCAGGTGCAGAGTAACACAAAATTGGAGGGTACAGAAGCAGCTCACCTCCCTCTTACACACAGACCATTTACTTCTCGAAGCACGTAGCAAAACTGCTGAAATGTGTACACTGCTTGAAAGTTGAGGAAAAGTTTATGTGTTAACAGTGGCTTCCTATCAACTAGTCTCTGATAGACACTACATAAAATGCATTAAGAAGGGTTTGCTGGATGTTCTTGTACCTATTATCAGGGGATTTCATAACAGACATGTGGGTGTGAACCAAGATTCGCTGACTGAAGGCATACATCCATGAACAAGCTTTTAGCTGGAGAGTGGGCACACGAGAGGATACAGAATATGGCTAAGCACCACCGGGAGAAAATTCTGCCTTCCTCTCCCCTCACTATCAACCACTTCGCTTAAGTTCACTCACTGCCTCGCCCTGACCCTGAGGATCCATTCACTTTCCATAACCCAAAGAGGCTGCTGAAAAGCTGTCAAAGTAAATCTGTGCTCACTTTTTGGATGGTTTAACTTCAATGGAGCATGAAACACCCCAGGACGGTTAATAAGTTTAGCCAGGCGTGCTGTTCTCCCTAATATATTTTAATTATGCATCTGTTTTAATTGTAATCAGATTAAGTCACCGGAAAGGCACAAACTGCAATTTTCCCTAATGGCTATTAGAGCTTTTCATCAGTTTCTAAACACTAACAACGTTTAAAAAATAGGTAGAGATAAGAGCACAACTGTGACATTTCCCAGAAATCGATGCAGTTTCTTTGACAACACAGTTCAGGTCTCATTAGCCACCCAAACTAACCCAAACGCAGAAGACAACTTCAGTCTCTAGGGGCGTCTTCTTCCCCAATTAGCACAAAAGAATCGCTAACGTCTAAACTAAAACTCCCAAACAGAAACGAAAACTCAGGCTTTTATAAAGTGCTACTCCATCGATCGGTGAGGGAGGCGGGGGAGCGGAAGAGATGAACAGCAGCATTATCCTGGTTCAAAGTAAAGTACACCATGGGTCAAAAGGGAAAGTTGAAATAGAATGCGATTTCTCCACTATTTTGGCAACTGTCAAACGTGTGTTTTAACCTCGGGAAATAAAAGTGTCCCATCAATAGAAGGAAACATAACAGGGAAGATCTATTAGGGGACGGGGAGCAGCTTCCTTCCAGTCCAGACGTAAAATCGCTCAATGTGCTTTTGTTGCACCATGGAATACCTAAGATTATTTGTTAATACGTTCATTAAAGAGTTTCCCAAATCGCTGTGATTTCCGCTAAGAAACTCAAACGTCTGCCAACAGCCTAGAGGCAAGGGAGAGGAACCTGCTGCAAACTAGGAACCCAAACTCCCTCAGCCCGCCCAGTGCGCCCGCGTCCCCGGCGTTTGCTTTAGGTGTTGATGTTTACGCGTCTCCTAAATCTTCAGGTGCTGGACCAGTCCCCCCAAGACGCACTTCGAACCTTAAAGCAGGAAGCTTCAGAGCTACCGCGGAGTCCCCAAGCAGCCCGCCACCCCTTCCTCTCACCCCCTTACCTGTCATCGTAGCAGAAATCCGCACTCAGGGTGTTGAGATACAAAGCGAGCCCTAGAGCGCTGCTCACCAACTCTGCAATCATCTCTCCACCGCCTTCCCTCCGGCTCGGCTACCAGCGCGAGGGCAACAGCGGCAACAAAAAACAGAAGCATCAATCCCCACCTTCCGCCGCTTTCTCCTCCCAGCGTCACTTTTCCCTCGCTTCCCCACCCTCCCTTCCTCCCTCGGGTCCTTCCACTCCACCGTTCTCTTCCTCCTCCTGGCGCCCGTCTCCGCAGCTCCTGCGTCCTCCCCGGGTGCGGGCTCACACCGCGCTCCCCATGCCCTGCGCCGACGAGCGGCGAGCGGCGTTCGGGCTCCGCGCCCCCCGGCGGATGCACAGGGCTAGTCCTTCGCGTGGCTCGCACCCCCACCCTAACCCATGGCAGTGCAGGGCGCCCTAGGTGAGGAGTGGGACTCGGAGGGGGTGGAAGAGTGCGGGGTGGGGACAGAGGGACCGGACCGAGCCGGGCTCTGAGACCAGCTGGAGGAAGAGAGAGAGAGAAGGGCGGGTGGGAGGGACAAGGCGAACCGCCTCCCCTCGCCGCCTCCCGGTCGCACCGCTCCGGTGCCGCTCGGGCAGTCTCCGGCAGCCACAGCGGCTGCAGCTCATTCACTCTTTATTAGCTCCCCTCCCGGCCCCAGCCCCTTCTCCAATGAAGTGAGAAGCGGTGACTGGAGACTCCAGAAGCTCCCGCGTGGGGCTCTCGGAGCTGTCCCCCGCGCCTGCGTGGCCAACCCTCCACCGGGTTTGCCCAGCCCCTTTCTCCACCCAGATCCGCCCCTAAGGTTCCGCCCACGCTACCCCCTGGGCTGAAGGCTCCTCCCACACTCTCCCCCGGCCGGAGGCTCCTCCTCCCCACCTCCCGCCCTCCCCTTGTTTCTTTCACCTTCGATTTCACTCCGGGAAGCCCAGGGAATCCAGGGGCGACGGCTGGAAGACAGCCCAAAGAGGTAGCTGGAGTGCGCCCTGGGCGGGGCAGCTAGAGAAGGAACGAGACCGAGGAGGACGCAGTCGCTCGCCCCGCTGTTGCCTGGCGGCGCCTAGCACCGACTGGATCGTGTGCCAAGCGCTGCCAGGCGTAGGTCCGGTCAGCTGGAGAGACTTCTGGGCACCGGGAGAGGAAGAACAGGTTTGGCGAGTGCTGCAGACTTGGTTGCCACAAACACACACGCGACCTGTCACACACCCTCACTGTGCGTGAACCGAAACGGTGCGGGGGGCGGGGGGGGCGTTGGAGAGCTTGAGGGGTGTCTTAGAGGGAGAAATTTCAGCTCCGAGCCGACCGTTGTTCCGAATGTCAATGGAGAGACGTGTGGGGAGGGAAATATTCCCGCAGTCAGGTTAAAAAGGACCCCCAAAGAGGAAAGAAAGACTAGCGCACACACATCCATACCCCGCAGCTGCGGGAGCTTTTCGTGGTTTCAAGGGAACTGTCAGGCTGACCCCAAGAACACGGAGAAGAGACGCCTGTACAACCGAGTACAGCGCTACCCTTACACCTAGGAAGGCGGGAAGCTAATGCCCTTTCCTTTCCGCCCGGATGCAGGACTGGATGGAAGGCGTCCAACATGATGAAATATGGTGTAGAAGAATGGTCTGTGTAGAACGAGCTCTGGGTACTAAAGTTGCAAGACCATAGAGGACCGTGGGCTGCCTGCCACATCTCCTCCCGGCTTGGCCCCTTTCTGGCTGGACGAGTGGCTCCCGGGACCGCGATGAACACTACTGCAGCGCCCCCTGCTGCATGGCAGCCACAATGCATGGAAAACAGACCTGTAGAGGGCTGACCCCCGCCCTCACCCCCATACCTCGGCCATAGCTCCAAAGGCAGCACCTAACCAGCAAGCTCTCCAACACGGCGGCAAGAAATTGAGCCCCCCGGATGTCTGGCAGTGGCCTGAAAAGCAAATACCGTGGTTAGGGTGTCTGCAAAACAAAGCAACATCTTTAAATGATGAATATTTATTATACCTATTATGCCATGCAGGAAGGGCCCATTTTTGTGCCCTGGGAAAAAACATAAGTAAACGTACATAAGGGGGAACTGTATCTTTAAAGGCAGGGACTGATCTTTTACCTTTTTTTTTTTGACCCCATAACCTCTGCTCACTGTCAAAAAGTTTTTAAAATCATATCAATTGGCCCATCAAGGTCCTCTGTGTCCCTCCACTGCACTTACATGTTGATACTTGATCCTAGGACACTGGAAGAAGGGCACGCTCCTCTAGAATCAGATGCTTGAGTTTGTGTCCCCACTCTGCTGCTTACCATCTGGATGACCTTTGGTCAGTCACCTAACCTCTTTGTGCCTCAGTTTTCTCACCTATAAAACAGTGATGATAATAATACCTATCTATGGGCACTATTATTATGAAGATGAAAGTAGTTAACATGTGTAAAGCACCTAGAAGCGTCCTAAATGCAATAGAAGTGGTAGCTGTTATTTATTACTACTACTACAACTATTATTATTATTCTCTCCAACTTCCTCTTACCCTTTGTCAACTAACACCTAGATGTTTACCCCCAAAACATACTCCCATCACATCCACACAGCTCCAGTCCTAATCCAAGCTACCCATGTTCCCT